TATATATGGTATATATATATATACAATGCGCGTGTCGGGATAAAAGTTAACAATTATTTTAATAAATTCACCTTGATCCACTCTCAAATTGTTGTGGTCCTTGTATTAAAAAACTTTTAATAAAGAGTTTATCGTTAGTTTCTTACTTATCCTAGGTATTCATTTACATATTAGCATTAATACTTGCCCATAGTCTAACAATAATAAGAAGTATATGCTATTTTACATTAAGAAAAAGTGTTTCACTGAACTAATTGTTGAATTTTATATGCATTACGTAAACTATAGATATACAAATGTGATATAAAGTGATATATGTAATTGCACTTTCTTAACACTCTGGTATACCCACAGTAAAGCTAAAATAGAAAAATAAAATTTTTAATTAAACTAACTAAATTGACATACGAAACACATGAATTGTTTTTTCAAACAATTAAAATATAATGGATTAAAAAATCTTTTTTAAAATCTATCTCTTTGAAAAAAACTTTGAGTTGATTTTTTCTTGAATTTGAATAATTTATCATAAAATTTTTAAAAAATTAAAAATTAAAAAATAGAGTATTAGATTAAAAAGTTATTAAAGACAAAACTGTGAAATATTTTTAATTTATTTAATAATCTCATATAATTTATCTCAAAGATCTTATAAATAATAGAATCTTATTGTGAGCACGTTTTGTATTCACAAAAATAATATATGTTCCATAACATAAAGTATATATGTTTTATAAAAAAAACATGTTTTAATAATTTATGCATATTATCATACGCTTTTATGATCACTTTATATAATCTGTTTATGGAAATTTCTCTTTGTACAATATGATTTTCATAGTGGAATGCCTCCCTCGAAACGTGCAACAATTTGTAGAGGTACAAAAAATAATACCTAATGTAATCTTGATCTATAGTTATAACTATAGATCAGGATTACACAAAACATTGCTTTCACGTACGTTATTATCAATTCTGAAAGTATGACTTGGTTATCGTTTTCTATATAATTTTTAGTCATCATACAGCGTCTTACATTGTCGCACTTTCATAAAAAATTTTATGAACTTTATAACAATTGATTAAAACAGTGTTGTGAAAGTATATTACGCTTCAAGGACATTTCTAAATATATCTCAAAAATTGATTGGCTTCCACATTTTTTGTACACAAAATTTTGATTTTTATACATTAATTAATTACATCGTCGGCGAATGTTCTAAAGTTGTTGACTAATTATGCTTACATAATACAATTTTTATTATAATAATTATTTAATTAATACGATATACAATTATAGCGTAGCATTAGCGATCGTTAATATCACGTATCAAGAGTAATCAATATTATAGCGATATATTTCTTTAGACATGAAAGTTTTATACTTTTGCAGAGTATTCCAGAGCCTTAAGATAACATATATGAGTTCAGAAAATTTATTTTTGCATTAAAATAAAAATTATTTAACACATTTTGTATATTAAAAGCCATTATCGAGATTGTAAGTATCATATGTTTTATCATTTGATAGATGCTAGTTAAAATGTAAACGCGTTCAAGTAGACCGTAATAATTGAAAGATTTTTCATAAAATCATAAAGTCTAGAAAATTAAATTTTTAGTAAACAAAACAATATTTCTTCTTCAAACTGTTTGTTGTATAAATAATAAGTAATTTTTTATTAGGCATACATAAATATAAAAATAAAATTCTAGATTCTGATTAATATTTTGAGAAAAAAATTAAAATTTTCCCAAAAAATTAAAAATTTCCCAAAGAGCCTCTGAACTTATTTGCAAAAATTTTACATTTACTAATCATTTAGCCCACATTAATATAAATTTATCTTTTTTTACAACATTAATAATTATAATAATAAAAGAAGAAATACTTTAAAAAATATTTAAAGTATAAAATAATAACTTTTTCACCTTTTATTTATGAAGTTTTCCAAATTACTCTTAAAAAATTCTTTGCAAATGTTGAACACTCATATTTCCCGTTTTCTGTTTCCTTCTTGTCAGAACAAAATCGTTTATGGAGAACGATTTGGCGCTTTAATTCAAATTTTTTTAATGGACTTATTTAGTTTTGTAGAAAATCCTTTACTTGTTATATTCCAGAACTGATAGTATTAAAATACTGTAACTGGGAAGTAGGAGTTTATACGCGGTAATTAGTGTGTTAATATAATAATAGATTCAATTTCTATTGTCACTTTGATTTAGGCATACATACATATAATATCATATGGGTTTCGACTTGATTTAAGTCATTCTCAACTAAATACATAAATAAGTATTGTATAAGTAACAGCTGACACGTCAACCGCACGTTTGAAATGAGAAATATTGAACATAATTGACATACATTTTTCATAATTTTAATATTTAACGAAGAATGCTATTTTTATAATGTTCATTGGTGGCTATTGAATGTTTGTATAATCTGTTTGCAATTTGATGAGTGACTATCCGTGCTCGTTTTCTTTAGATATAATCTTACCATAGACAGTTATTACTCAATTATGTAACATATCAATTATGTTAAGTATAATATGTACGTTTTATAGCCTGTCTCGTTGGAACTTGCTATGTTTTATTTGAATCAATAACCATATAGATAGAACACAAGAAAACATTACAGTAAAGCGGATGATTGGCACAGGATTGTACAGATTGTAGGATAGTCTTATACTTTATTTATTATATGTATTTCGTTAAGAATGACTTAAATCAAGTTGAAACGCGTACAATATTATATGTATGACTAAATCGAAGAGACAATAAAAATTAAATGTCTATTATAATATTATATTAACGTACTAATTACCGCGTAGACTCCTATTTCCTATTTATAGTACTTTAATTTAATTATTTAGGAGTCTGATTCTATTATATTGATAGTATTATTGTCAAAAAGTGTTTACAGTACAACAGCGTACCTTAACTTTTTAATTTTGTCATCTGGAAAATAGGAAGTGTATATGTATATATATGTATATG